ATGTTTTGTTTCCAGGAGTCAGTTTTGCATAAGGGGTCAAGGCAACTTGTCATGATTGCTGAGAAAAAGATTTAAGTCCCTGTTTTCACAACATCACAGGTAAGCTGCAGATAAGACCAAATAAATTTAAGAACCTGACAGGTCATTCCACAAGAAGTGTGATGCTCAAACAACGATGCTAGACAGCCTGATGGATGGTGTGCATTTGTTGGACCAAAAAGGACAAATAAGGTGCCTCATTTAAAGCATTTCAAACTTTTCTCCAATCCCTGCAGCTATTAATGCGTCCAGGACAGAGACATTGACAGCAGTGACACCTGCAATAAATTCACATTTTTTTTGGTTGAAACTTGATTTATTTATTTTTTCAATCACAGAATTTTTCGTTCAGCTTGTGGATAATTACACGTGCACCGTAGACTCTTGAAGGATATGACTTACTGATGCTATATAATGTCTTATTTATTATTTCTTCATATTCCTTTTGGGACTAAAGGTAGACATTTTACTCATGCTTAGTTGTCACATATCCTTTCATCACATAAGCCGCACTGCAGTAAAACAGGGTTCAATAGCCAGTGAGCACTGTGTGCATCTTAAGATGCAAATATGTGCTCTGTGCTGGACATGTGTAGGAAATACATCTTTTTTACTAATACCACATTGTTAAACAGCCTTTCAGGTAGTCTGGTGATACTGGCTGCCTCGCAGGGTAAACACTCATCTAGCTGCCTGACAGACTGCACCCTGTATTGCTGTGCTTTGTGTCAGATATCTGCCATTTGTCTGGCATTCTTTAGGCTGCCTGGCAGCTAGCTGCTTTTTCCTGTCATCCTGGTTGGGATTTTCTGCTGCCTGTGAGACTGCTTGGATGTTTAGCAACCTGTAATTAGTATCACCTTGTACTTGCTGCCTTTCAGAATTCAATTGTAGTCTGCCCCATCAGAGTTTTCTCCAATGGACCATATTTTTGTAGCGGCAGGATATCTCTGAAGGTGTATGCTGAATAATCACTGAAGTTATATAAATGGTATGACCATTCTGACAAATAGGCATGTTTCCCAATAGCTATACAGTTAGCTGTCTCGCTGGCAAACATCACTATCACATTTGCTGACCACTTAGGATTGACTGATTATAAAAAAAAAAAAAAAAAAAAAAAGAGTTGGGCCAGAACTTGGCAGCCAGCCTAAAGGAAGAGTAAAGCCTTACAGATTGATTGATAGAATAATAGTACCTGGTGTTGGGAAAGCATAAGAGTCACAGCAGGTAACATTTCATTAGTATTTTTTAGTATGGAATTCCAGGCTAATTACAAAACTGTTTGCTGGCTCAGTGTAGTTCACTAGCAAAATAGTGCAAAGCAGAGCAATCTTGTAATACTGAGCAAGTAACCATGTCTCAGTATCATGTGAAAGAACAACATTGACTCAAAATGAGTAAACGACTGACTCAACTTAATAGCTGTAGTAATTAATAAACATCTCTTGCTCATAATAAACTCATTAACTCATAATTCAATTTGTTCTTTTACAAATGTATTTTCTCTGCAATCTAGACTCTATACAATAGTTATTAGAAAGTAAGACATGAAGATCACCAAAGGGTAAAAAAAACAACCAAAAAATAATAAATAATACAGCTTTTCCCCTTGATGTGCGACTTCATGGGGCAGTGCAAATAACTTCTGTGCACTAAATACTGAAATGACTGAATTTCGACTGAGCTGAATTTGGACTGAGCTGACATGTCAAGTGTGCATTTATTGATTGATCAGACAGCAGTCAGGCCCCGACTATAGTCCAAATATAAATACTCCAAAGGGAGAAAAAGACAAATGTTTCTTTTAGGATGGTTTGTGCTCTGCAAGGTGATACTTTGCTTCTTTACAAGCTTCCCTTGTGTAAATTCCCTTCGAATTTCCCTATTTCAAAGATGTTTAGCTGGCACATTGTAGGCCTAGCAGCTGAAAACATCCAATAAAGAATTCTGTGATAAAGATGCAAAGAAACCTCATACTGGCTTAAGTCATGCTTAGGAAGAAACATCTTCTCCATAATTGTGTCGCTACTATAACACAAAGACTAAAATATCATACGTGACAGTAGCTTGTAGTAATGAACCTGTATGACATACACAGATTTTTATGTGAATGACAGCAGGGTTACATTAAGAAACATAACATGATTAATGGATTTAGCACAATATCATACATCAGAGACCTAACTTATTTGATTCTGCCTTATTTGAGCTCTCATTCTGTAGAATATACTTACAATCCAAGCAGAGCAAATCTTATTTAGTGAGTGTCTATGAGCTATCTTTTTCACACCATTTATATTGCTCCATCCACACATCATTAACAAATATTTGAATGTCAAAAAAACACACGCATAGAGTAATCTTGTCAAAGAAAGAATTATTGCTCCTTGGTCCTCAAACACAGGGCCAATCTCTCAGCATGAGAACATGGAGAGGAGTTGAAAAGAGTTTTCAAAAGCCTGGCCCTGGGCCTATTTTTCATATCTTAAGAATTCACACAAAGATTGATGAAAAATGGATGCAAATGATTCTGAGAGGAGAGGTGGGGGGATTACAGAAAGAGCCCACATCAAGCTTCTCAGAACTCTCACATGTGAACACCCTGATCTGCAAAGAGGCTTGGCTTCTCTGGCTACCAACCCCTACATGCCCAACGATGGGCTCACACGGTCAGTGTCTCAAGGTTATTTTGACGCCTTATAAAAGGTTTATGAAGGAAACAACAGCCGGCGACTAATGCAGAAATGCCCTAGTTAGTTTCTGCCTATCACATCAAGAGCAGCTGAGTATACAGAGCATCACCTTGTTTATTCATAAACAGTAAACTGTACATCCTGATAAGTTTAAGAAGTCTTTATCAGGCATTCAGTTGATATCCAAGCTAAATATAAGTTGCTAATTCAAGAGCATTTGGGATATTTTATCTCGAAGCAAAAGGTTCCAGTGAATAATGTGTACCATTTTCCTTCGTTATACTCAAATAAGTAATCTACAGTAATTCAACAATTTCGTTAGCAGAAGTATGAGATGCCAAGAACCTCCTGACATACGCTAAGAAAGGGCAAGCAACATGCTGTAATATGTCCTCAAATGCAGATGCATGTCAATCAGAGGGAACTCAAGTTAACATTTGGATAGCAGGCATCTATCGAAACAGCATTGAATGTTTTATGAGAAAACGTTGAAGAGAAACACATATGTACCAAGTAAATAAAGGTTCTCCTTGATAAAGATGCAGAAGTAGAAGCAGAGCAGAAGAGGCAGCAACAAGTAAAATATATCTATGCTTCCAGAGCAAGCATCAGTCAGCTTCTGTCAACCTAATAAGAACATCATGGTCAGACTGTGATGGCTGATAGCAGGGCTGCTTGATTAAAAACAGGCTGCGTTTCACACTAGGATCGTGGCTAGCCTCTGAGGTTCATTTCCTTCCAAAGGGAGTAGCAGAGAAGCTTGACACAAATGACACATCCAAACAACCTGTGAGAGGCAGAGAAGACAAATGAACTTCCTATGACATTGCTGAGCTCCTTTGGGCTTTTACAAATGACTCCTCATATGCCTCCCAGCCGTGGCATATGTCTGCACTGTGTTTAATGAGTGCTTCGGATATGAAGAAGGTTCAATAACTAATGAAAGAAGAACCTTGTTCTCTTATTATATCCCCCATGCCTCACGCTAAACATGGTATAATGTATTGAAAACTGCTACACACAGACACAGACACAGACACACACACACACACACACACACACACACACACACACACACAGGCAATGGCATTTGATAGACTCAACAGTGCCTGTTCCTCTTTAATGTGTGCTGGGATCATTTTCTGGGTACAGAGGAAAGAGGAGATACTTAATTAACAGGGCCTACAACACCAATCAATAGTTTTGGTGTACACTGAGCACCAGCAGAGTCAGAAAACAGCCTGCAGACTTCAGGCCTTTTATGTTTTTCCTTACACTTTTGTAATTAGATGAAAATATGAACATTACCAAAGCCTACCAACACTGTAACATCAAATCATTACTCATGTTGCAGTAAAATGCAATGCCTGTCTATCTAAATGTGTTAAGGAACCTTAAGTTCACCATTAATAGCCAGTTCTCCGCTTTAGGAATATCAGATTAACAGTGAACATTGACTGCATGGCGATTTTGGTGAGAGATGTAATCTGTCATTTTGAGATCATGTCTTGCTTTTGACCTTCAGCATGTCATGCGGTATCAGATAGTCTGAGAAAATATAAAGAGTGGTATGTCAGGTCCCATTTGGCCTCATTTATCAATCTGTTTGTATATTGCTTATACATTTCTGTCTTAAATTCAGAACCCCTAAAACCATAGGGCTCATTTATCAACCTTTTTGTCAGAGGTACATTTATTTATCTGATGCAGCCATGGCCAGTTTTAAATCCCTTTCATGAGTTTAGTATCATATGTAACATATCATATGTAACATTTAAATCCAGCTTTTAATCTCCATAGCTAGAGCATAATGTGGAGAGGAGTTGAAATTGAAGTAATCAGTGGGCACTTCATTGCTTTTATATTATGGACAGAGTTAAAAGGCTCAGAAAAAAGCTAAAACTTTAATTACATTAAAATTACCATATGCATCAATGCACATCTAAAAATATGTTGTGCATCATTGCACATTAGCAGCGAAGAAAAAAAAAATTCTCACTCAACCATAAACATATTAAAACTGGTGACTAGTTCTCACTAACATGAAAGCTGAAAGAAGATCATTTAGATTATCAATATATCTTTCTTTAAAAATGTACCCTTAATTGCTTTAGTTTTCTTTCAGTGACTGCACCCATGTATGCAAGCCAAATCCACACGTACAGAGAAACTTAAGAGTCTAACTAATCTAACTAATATCAAACTAATTTATACTAGTGAGAAGATAAGGTACAGGAGTTAACAGTGGAACCAGACAAAGAGTACCTGGAGAAGTTGAAGAGGCGGCTGTCCCACAGGCTGTGCACCCCTCTGGGTGGGGAGTGAAAGAAACATGAGTCGGAGCCATCAAAGCAGTTCAGGCCGTCCTCAGTGTTCTGGGAGGCGTGGCTGTGAACGACATCCAGCAGCACCACGATGCCCATCGAATGAGCCACATCTATCAGCTGCTTCAGCTCATCTGGGGTACCGTACCGACTACAAATACACACACATTTGTATTAGTTCACCACAACTTGACCCTGTCCTAAACCCTTTCCATTTCACGGACTAAATTTAACTCATACATAACCGTAATCCTAATCGGTTTTGTTTTGATTCTTCTTTCTTTCTTCTTTTTCCTCTGCTAAAAGTGTTTGGGCAGCAAAAACTGCTGGACAAAAACTCACCAAAATTGGCACGTAGGTTGCGAATTCCACCCACTACTCAGGCAAAAGAAATGGCCCTCATAGACCACATGGTGGTGCTATAACAATCAACTTTGCGTTTTTGCAATTATCTCGAAAACGGCTTCGTTTAGAGTCTAACTTCTTCATTATTGTAATCTCTGGATTCATCTGCATCTTTGCTCCAATGGTCTTCTGCTCTAAAAATGTCAAATTATACAACTTTTTATCACTTTTCTCTAAAACCTATTTTTGCGAACTTGTCCCAGACGGTTTTGCCAATTGACCTGAAACTTTGTCAGGATCATCTATGGACATCGCTAATCAAACGTTATCAAAAGAATTTTGATATGTCAATCTGTTTTTTTTTCATAAATTTTTACTTTTGTGTCTTTACGTACAATTTTACATAAATTTCCGTAAATAAAAATTGGCTTAAGCTCTTGTAACCAAACTTGACGCATCGGTTCAGATGCTCGGCCCAAGCTTCGCTGAGCAGTCCTGAGATATTCTTCCACTAGGGGGCGCTACACTTGCAAAAATACCTCGTTATTCACTGGATGGATTCATACAAAATTCGGTTTGTACGATCTCGGGTAACTACTCATTTGATTTATAAAATTTGGTAATGATTGTGTAAAGTGGGCGTGGCTTATTTGAGACATTTCTCATTCCTAACTTTAAAAAATCTAAGAAAATCATCCATACGTCCTAGAGAGCTGAATCTTTTTCAGCACATCCACTGATATATGACTAACGTTTGCCTCACTGCAACCTATGGTAAATTCAGAAGTCAGTCACTCTATATTTTTCAGAATCTGCTAACTCAATTAACATCTATATCTCCACAAGTCTTTCTTCAAACTCGACAGAGTCGTTCTCCAGATGGCCCGATGTCAAGTGTGTCAAAGGGTTTTCAGATCAGTCAAACGGTGAGTCTGCAGTGATATTCAGTATCTTGCTGTAACTTGTACAGTATGAACAACATTTTCTTTTAAACTCAGTTTTGGATGCCACCAAAATAATTAACACACCCAAAACCAGCAGAATGATGCATGATTTTTTTCAGAATTTTCTCACCTACATCTTGACAGTTGTAAGCGTTTTAAGTTTAAACTGACAAAATTATCCAGGTCTGCCACATGTGATGTCACTACCTCAACTTGTGAGAAGGTGTGTGGAAACAGCCTCTCACCAGTAGCTCAGTGAGTAAGTCACCTATACTGGAGATCTGAAGTTCCAATGTTCAAACCCCCAGGTGGCCGAGACAGACTTAATGGCAATGGAGGTGTTCAGATCATAGTGGGTCTAAGTTCTCTATTTTATTTGGATCCCTAGTAGTTTCTTCTAATTTTTCCCTGCTAAAAAGAGTTTGTGCAGCTTAAACTTTAAATCTTGTAAACATAAAATGTCACAGGTGGGTTGAACATTTCACCCAGTAGTCAGGTACATATAATGACGCTCTCTGATCTCAAGGCGATGCTTTAAAAATCCAGTATGCGTTTCCCCAATTATCTCAAAGTCCAAATTCTTTCATCACTTTAATCTCTGAAGTTGTCTGCATCTGTTTTTCTCCTCTGAAAATTTCATATGTTGCGTTTTTCGCGACTGGCTTGGAACCCGATAATTGGCGCTTGCGGCTATTTTCTTAACCTTAAATCTGAATGCTTATGTCAAAATTACCTTTAGAACAAGAATGGACAGAATGTCCTCACATAGACAAACTGTTTTACTATATTTGAGCATTTGGACCACATAACTATACATATAAAAAGAACAATCATACAAACACATACACAAACATAAGTTTACATTTTCACTTGTTCGTCTTTCCAAGGACCAAAAATGTATTTTGGTGTTGTTTCAGTTTCACTAACAATAAACCTATTCTAATTCTAATGCCTAACCAAAATGATAGATTGCCCTCGCCCAAAACTAAATCTGGTTTGTGTCTTGTGCAAGGTGATGACCAACATAAATGTCCTTAGTTTTGAGTTTATTTTTCCTTAAATTAATATCACAGAGGCAACCGGCCTATGATTGAAGAAGAAGCACAAGAGCACACACTAAATTTTTATTTACATTATGTGTTTGTATTTCGAATAACGACACGATTAACAGGCAGCATATTATTTCACAAACCTAATCTCCTTCTCTGGTTATTTGTCTAAAGATCATATCTTCTAGTCAGATTGTTAAAATGGTTTATTTAATAGATTTTGTTTATAACTCTTCTACAGTCCTTAATAATATTTAAATGGTCATAAAGAAGACACTGTGGAACTCACAGCACACTCCACAGAGCAACTGTGTGTATTCATACACACGTTCATATACAAACATACACATAGTGTATCTTTCCATACATTCCTCATATTGTCCAAAAATGTCCCGTCTGTCCTTCTAGCTATCATTATATCAACTTTCTTGCAAAACAGGGCACCGCTTCCCGGTACTCAAGCGCTCAGGTTTTAAATGACACTGAGAGATCAATCATGGGTGAAATTACACTATATGCATTACACCATGGTTTTATGCTCTACTCTAAGCAAGGAAGGAGGGATCTCTGAAAGAAGATAAATACTCAGACTACTCTGCCTTTATCTATAACTCCCTCCACTCTCTGGATTAACAGCAAATGTATTTACAGAGAGAGATTATTGCTGGTGTCAGACTTCCTAACCTTGATTTAAGGTGACTATCAAGTGGGGAGTTGCTCACACTGCTTTGTCTTTGACTAAGAAAAACAGTGAACAATGTTTTCTTCCACATTATTTGAAATGCACACTGGCTCATGTTCAATATGTGCATGTATTGTTTCTTCTGAATTACTTAATTCTGGCACAGGAATAGTGGACTCTGACACTAACAATGAAAACTACAATACTACTACTACTACCAATATAATAATTCACAAGCATTTACCTGGAAGCAGCAAAGAAACTTGTTATCTGATATCCAAAGCTTGCATAATAGGCATGCTCCATGATAGCCATCAGCTGAATACAGTTGTAACCTGGAGGGAAGAGAGAAGAAAAGAAAAAACATTGCTCTATTTCAAATGATTCTTCTTGAAGTGTTCAAAGCTTTCCCGCCAGATACTTGAACTAACTTTATCTAACCGATACCTCAAATTGGGGATGTGGAGAGGATATTATTCTTGCCATCTTCTCTTTTCTTATGATTCCTCTTAAAATATCATCAGCTACATAGATCATATCCCAAACATCAGTTAGAAATGCAAATAATTCTTATGAAGCGTGGGGTTGGTTAGTCACACAGATCACAACAAGTACAAGTTTTTTGAGTACCTATACTGTAAAGACTGACAACATTATGTTTGGCCACATTAATACAATAAGCATCTGGAAACATTATGACTTTATACTATTTGACCTGTGTCAGTCATACTGTATATATGAGCTCCAGGCATTTCCTTTTCGACACAAGCCCTAGTATCGTAAAGAAAAGCTGTGGCTACAGGGAAACACCAGCTATCTGAGTCAGGAGGTCATGTACAACATTTCAAAACGACCAACGAAAACTGCTTCTATGAATAAGAGAACAACAGGCTTTTAAACTGCCACTGAACACTCCAGAGGGAGACCCTGTGGTTTTTCACTGTTGTGTGGAGCAGATTTATTTATTTATATTGCAGCTTCTTTTCAGGCTAGAGAGAAAGAGAGAGAGAAAAAACTTTGGCTTCTGAAGGAGTGTGACAAAGCACTGGGGTGAGAGGAAGTTTCTCTTTTTATTTATATATATATATATACACACTCTCTCCACAGTCAAGAAAATGAAATGGCAGGCAAAGGCAGCAGTCACTTGAGACGGTAGAGTTTAGCCTCCTGGAGAATCCTATTGTTCAGATTCCCTCAGCAGCTGCAGGTAAGATTCTTTGACAGCATTTACTCTGGCAGTTTCCTTTCCCACTAAACAGGATGACACAACCAAGGAAACAGCATTTATCAGATTGCTCCTGGTTTGCTGTGCAAGTCATGTCTGTGCCTTTTAATAATGTCAGTGCAGCAGGCTGTACTTGGATGCAACATAATGCCACATCTCATATGTGCAGAATTGCGAACCAAGACAGGGATCTGTCTGTTCCACAAAATCGCATTTGAATCTAGCTCTTTATCATAAGTTCAGTGATTATGAAAATGAATCACACATCGCAGTTGAAGAGTCACATGTGTGATGACAACACTTACGACAGCGCTCAAAAGTGAAAGCACGGTGGTGGATCACAAAATTTTTAAAATTAAAATAGTTACCATAGCACCACCATCAAGTTTCTCACACTTTTCACTGTGTTGTTTTGGATGAGACTGGACCATTATGCTATGTAGGCATGATGAATTTTCATCATGGCAAGTCATATTTTTGGTTAAGGGATCAACTAGAAATAGAAACACTCAATAATTCAAAAATCTAAGTGTAAAGAAAACTAAATTTGTGTTGGGTCAGTAGGCAGACATTGCCATAAGATGTACTGCTAGTATCACTGAAAATCACTCTTACACTCAACATTATTGAAGTATTTCAACTTAACAAATAATTAAACTATGTTTATTGTTTTGCTATGCAAACCAATTTTTAAGAGTCATCTGCCTCTTAATTTTCTTTTATAAAATAAAGGTGAAATCTTAATGCTGCCAAAATTTTAATTATTTTCTTAAAGTCTTAGATATGAAGGACACAGTCAACTAATGAATAGTTGTTTTTTATCAGTTAGAATTCAAGAATGAAAAAAAAAAAACAAGTACAAGTCTTCAGGGCATTTGTTTCACTGAATGATACAACATGCAGGAAGATGCACTGCAAAAACTAAAATCTTAGTAAGATTAATTATCTTAATTGAAAGCAAATATATTTTTTTGTCTGAAGATATTTCTTCTTACCAGGCGGCTTTTATGTTAGATAATTTCACTTGTTTCAAGTTTTATTGGCCCTAAGTAGCAAGTGAAATATTCTTGTTCTGTTGGCAGATAATTTAACTTATTTTAAGTAATATTTCCCCCATTTTAATGCTTTTTTTCCCTTGTTTTTGAGAGCTCAGTTTTTGCAGTGTGGCCTTTGTCTGCTATTGGCTGTCTGATTCAAGATCATGGAAATGGAAACAAGTTGTCAGTTTTGGAGCCATAGCTGCTGTGTGTTGTATGACTTGTGCTGTGGAGTCCTCTTTACAAAATGCTGTCCAACAGTCAGTGATCCCTTCAGGTCATGCCAGTAAACAGGATGTTGACTTGCTGATGTGGTTTTGTGCAGAGGGAGTATGACAGGTCTGCCACTGAAAATACTGCTACTAGAGGAACAGTAGCACTCAAAGTAGCACAGCATGTCTTGCAGGGTTTTATGGACCAGTGTTGACAGAGATGGCACAGGACACAGTTCTAAAATAAAAAGCTGCAAGCAGCGTTGGGTGGGCCCTTGCGCCGAGACACGCAGCTGCGCCCCCTGGGTGGCGCTAGACAACACCTGCACTCAAAGTAGCACAGCAGATATGTTGTGCAGCAGTAGGTGAAGTGTGGACCATGCTGTGAAAATGCCATGTAAATCAAATGATTTTTGTCAGAAACAGCTTACTTCCTGTTACCAGTGGGAGGGACTATGACTTTGAGTGAATATTTTCATGTAGATGTGTTCAGGACGGGACTGTTATCTACCATGTAAAGTTTGGTACAGATCTGAGCATGTACATTGAAGTTATAATAACTTCCTGTTTTATGGCGAAACGTTGATCTTTGACACCACGGACACGCCCATCGACGAAAACTCACAGATAGCTCAACTTTTCATCGTCAATGCCTTTAGAATGCACAGCCGGATTCATTCTCTAGGAGGAGTTAAAGTAAGAACCCTGTAAACGGTGAAAAATGGGTTATAATCGCACTTTCAATTGAAAATAGCTGAATTCCTGTTGAATTTAGGGTATGGGTTCTTGAGGCTTTTTTGTGTGTCTTGATATGATACATGTCCCAAGAAACTTTCGTGCATGTAGGTTGAACGTGGCACGGCGGCTGATTTCTTCCAATTTTGTAGGTGGCGCTATGGAGCCATTTTGCCACGGCCATATGAGAGACCCTTAAAATACGTAATTTTTCGCCACGTCTATCATGTGAGCAAAGTTTGGTGAGTTTTTGAGCGCCTTTAGGGCTTCAAAATTGCAATTCATTCGGGAGAAGGAATAATGATCCTTAGAATTTCAATAGGGTCCTCGCATGTTCAAACCCCCCAAACTATTGTTTTTCTATCCACATTGTTGACTCTGATTTCATGGGTAGGGAGGTATGTACAAACATCACCTAAATGCTTCACTTCCTCTCTGTTCTTGGCTGGAGAAGATACAAATATCAAGTTGAGTGAAAAAAAAAAGCTCTGTCACTTGGATGAAGAGGATCAAAGCAGGATGATTATTGTACACATTTTCCAGACTTGAGTAGCTAACAAAATAAGAGTGAGGCCAAAAGGGAAGAGAAAAATCTTTTGTGGTCACATATCTTACCCAGGTCTTTTATACGAGGCAGCACGTTGGTTGTGAAGTTGGTGTATGAGGCGACCTTTCCCTCAGGTGAAGCGATGCCCACGTGGGCCTCGTATATTCTCAGACTCGTGGGCTTCTTTGGCCGTGGGTGGATTTGCTGGAGAGGAAACCAAAATTGGACAGAAAATCATCAAGTCCAGCACTTGCTGGAGGCTAAAAATACAGAACTTTGGTGAGTAATTATGAACCATAAGGTCAAAGACACAGTGTGGGCTTTCTGGGACTCTGGCACCAATATTTTACCACAGAGGCTGATGATGGTTCTGCACACATTAAATATTAAAAGATCTATCTATCGTCTGTGTTACACAATGGGAGAGAGATTTGTTTTATACATAGAACCAATTTCCTGGTGGCTACCCACCAGGCCTTGTGAACACACTGTTTGAAGTACATGATTGAGCCACTTGTAAATAAAGCGAATATACTGCCAGTAAGAGGTCTTCTCTAATTAAAACGGTGCCAAATAACAAGCCATAAAGAAAGCAAGGTGGTCTTTAATAGCCTCTTATTGTTTTGCTTGTGCACACTTGTGCTGAGGACGTCAAGTAGCATTGAGACACATTCAGACCCTCTCAAATCAGCACCATCTAGCACACACATTAGAGTGACCACAAGAGCTGTAGAAATGACATGTAAGGTTCATTTCAAATGTAACACACAGCAAAAAAAACAAGCAGTGATGGATGAACTAGAACATTGGAGTCTACATTAAGCAAACCCATCATACAGTCATTTGATAACACATAACAGAAGTGATTAGAGTGATAAAACTTTTTCTTTTTTGAAGTTTTTCAAGTTGTGATAAGGTATATAAATATCTATCAATCTATCTATTCATCCATCTATATATATATAAAATAACTTACAATGTAAGGTTGGGGGGGATCCCAGTGAACCCAGTCGTAGATGACAGATTTCTCTTCCCTGGTGACATATTTTGCCCAGGGCGAGATCCGGTACAGCCGCTCACCGTTTTTAGTGTGAACTACCACCTGGGAAAATAAGACAAATGAGTATTATGTTATAGCAAGGGCACTTAAACAATGTTATAAAGAGGGGACATTCAAAAGACAGGCACTTTGCATAAGCTGCGAGGAAGGGGACACAAACACACACACACACACACACACACACACACACACACTGCAGAATTGGAAATGTTGACTGAAAACCTACAAGAAGGAGGGATAAAGTATAATAATATGCAGACTAGTAAAATGGAAAAAGTGTTAATAAAGTGAAAGCATAATTATAAAAAAGGAAAACACTGAGCCAGAAATAACAGTCCTCTGGTTTAAAAGGCTTGGCCACAAATCAACAGAAGCTTAAAGATCCTCTGTGACTCCTGTGTGTTCTTGTGTCTGGTTGTATGAGATTTTAAAGTCAGCATTTATTTACATCTTTCAGACATGAAATGCTTACATCATAAAACTGTGCTTTTACTCCCCATCCATTATACAGAAAAGATGGTGCAGATTGTTCAGCCAATAAACCAAACATTTTTCAATGTGTCAACAATATAAAAACACCCCTCTTCCACAAGCAGCTCCCTGCTCGCCACTGCAACAATCACAGTTTTTTAAAAATATTTTACTGGGCTCATAGAGAACACCACATACATACTATGGTGTAGAGGATAAAAAGCTACAACAATGACTAGAATACTTGTTGTTGTGAATCTAGAGTCACTGGTAATTTTATGCTATCTTTTATATTTGGGAGCAACTCCTCTGTTGGTTTTAACACAGCAAGTCGCTGGCCAATCTTGAGATGGGATTTGAGCTAGGGAGCAATTTAGAAAATAGGAAATATAAATCATTATCCTTTGCCTCTCATCTATTATGTCTGAAATTCAGGATTGGAAGGGGGGCAAATAAATATAGTTTGGAAATCTAACCGACAAGCTACTTTGCCTTTTCCAGTCAAAAAAGAAAGAAGAAAGCCAGCATGTGAGTTGGAAAAACCCACCAAGAAATCGATCCTGTAGTGTTACTCACAGTATGTGTTCACCCTGTTTTGTCCCCTGCAGAAACGGGCATTAGAACCCAACTAATTCTGGCTACTGTTGTGAAGTAATGACTGTTCCAATGCCACCTGCCTGCGAGTCGTTGGCCATAACCCCCCTCTGGGGTTTTTTCATTATGGCCAGGCCACCTGGGGGTTAGCTGCTTGGCTCCCCTTATGACATGCTTCACAGTTTATAGGATTAGGAAAAGATAGTTGGATAAATGGACTGGCATAAAGCCTGACAGAGCGGTGGTCCTTCAGACCAATTGGCCAGCATTAGGCACATTAAAGAAATATCAGACTGCTGGGCAGGCTGAGGGGATGCATGAACAGAAAAAAACAACTTAAGCCAGGCAATATGCGACTAGTTAGGTGTGGATGAAAAAGCGAGTGTTTGATCGCCTACAAAACATTTCGGTTCACTTCACTTCAGTGTGTACTTGCATACTCTCGGCATAAAGAGCACATTGCAAATACTGTACCCAATACCAAGAAAGGGACACTGCTTGTTTATGGAGACAAATTGGGCACTGAACAAAGGGGATGGAAGGGCAAGCTGCTCTACACGAGAGTGATTGGAGCTAGGCTTGTGCTTCCACGAGGGAGTGCTGTGGAACTAATTCTAAAGTGGAGCTCACAGCAAGACAGCCATTCATAGGCAGCAGGGGTGCACAAGGAAAGGCCAGGTGCCAGCATTTCCATCTGCTTCTTATCGTCCTTAGACTGACCTCCGCTGACAATGGGAGCTGGGCAGCCTGTCCAGGGCACAGGAGTGTACCAACGATGACCTGGTCCCAAGGAGAGTGACGCCATGATGCCATCCATTCCATGTCTGGCATCTCATTTCAGGATTATTTCTCATCCGCGCTGTTTGCTTGGGAGGCAGTGCATAATGGGAGGTGCGTCTTTTGCATTTAACCCTGATGAATTATTTACTAGAGCTAAAAACCAATCATCTACACCCACTGCAGTCTGTGTTTTGCACAAACAAACACGGCACAATGTCCTGAGGGCTGAAATAAAAGCCATCAGTTGGGCTCCTCAGGTGCATCTACCCTCCACTGTGCAGATTGTGTACATACAGTAATCTCCCTTCTGCGTGCTGTGAGTATGACATGTTGTTGACGGCGACAAGCCAGGTTTCCACTTGGTTCATAAGACACCACACATGACAGGGAATCTCCCTCGTACGTTACAGTGGCAACTCCTCGTACCGCCACGGCAAGATGACACCTAAGGAAAGCATGAAAATGGGTATGAAGATGTTCTGTTCTCTACCTTGAATTTGGTGTTATGATCCACAGCTGGAGACTTGTCATGCTTGGGTGGTAGAATCAGTTCCCACTTGCCAAATTCTTTCTTGGTGTAGGGGTGGGAGAATTTGTCCCAGCCATCTATGGTGGAACACAGAGAGGATTTAAACACAGATTAATTGGTTTACAGCACAGAGCCACGCATCAATTGTGATTAGCTGCATCCTGATCAAAGGAAGCCATATCATCATAGATGCCTATGACAGAGCAGCCAAGTCAGTACATGAATTTCTCGTGTCCCTTTGGTATCCTTTGGTATGAAGTGATCACAGTTTGTGAAAAGTCTGAAAAAAATACATCATTTGTGTAGCAGAAATGTGTTTTCCCCTGCCCCTATCTTGTTTATCACCTTGCGATTCCTCAGATTTATCTGAAGTGGGGGTCAAGACCTCGCTTCACTTCAGTTGAATATTACGGTCTCTATTTTGTACCAATGTGCAAATTATTCATGCATCGTTTTAATGTGCTATGCTGACCAAAACAAGGCTCATAGTACTACTACAGCTGTGCTGTGCTATATACATTATTTTTTATTTAAAGCCTGCATATGTGGAATTGTTATGTGATTATAGCTTCTTATAAATTATTTGGTACGTTTTGATTACATAAAAGTCGCTTAAAGGGAATTTATGCAGTCCACACTTGTTGCTCTTAGTGTTTTCATTTATTTTACCACGAGGAGCAGCCAAAGTCAGAGACTTTAATACCCAACCATAGGGGCTTCAATTCTTCTTCATTGCAAATAAAACAATTAACAGTTACATTCTTCATTATTACAGCAGTGTGTAGCCACTTTGCCTTGTGCTAACAACAGCTTGTGGCTGATAGTCATTATTGTGGCTTTTGCTCTATTTCAACATCCTCCTGTGGTCACAGGCCCTCTTTATTTTTCTGACTTCTACATTCTCTCTCTCATCTAAAACCTGTTACATAATTCTGTCTTGTTTTTGTACTCTGCACTGCTCTCCTGTATCCTGTGACTTTTGCAACAGCGAGCAAAGCAGTAAGCTCAGTCATCTAAAAGAAAAACTGATAAAATACCACTTCACTGCTCATTGAATTATATCTCTGAAGGAACAACAGAGAGCCATTCATTCATAACCTGCTGATACCACATTATCAATTGTCATTGACTGACAGGAATATATTAGGACACACAACATTTATTATAAAGCATCCACATTGGCATGTCAATTTAGGATGTCATTTTTATTCAGTAATCCATATCTGTTTGCTATTCATGAAAAACAACAGCAGGATAAAAAATGAATCACAGGAGATGCTCCAGCAGTGACCGGGCACAACACCAGGACTTTTCACAGCCAGGCCAAGTCATATTTTTCACAATTTATTTATCTTCCTTTGCTTAAACTCCTCTGACAAAAAAACAGAGCATTATGCATCCAACCTGCACCATATTCATGACTAGGGCTGCTGGGCTGTTTCCACATTTACTATGAAATTGAAATCAAATAATATGACTGAGCCGTGTCAAAATGTAATCTCTCACAGAATTGAATGTTGGAATTGAGCTGCTGCCCAAGGTCCTGGGAAGATAATTAAAAAAGGAAAAGGAACAGGAGAAATGTGGAAAGAGGGAATGGCAGCAACAGAACTAACTAGCACAAAAAATGTGTAGGGACAATTTTGCACACAGTATCAATCTGAGGGTATTACTATTAGCATTTGCTTTCCTTTATCACTACCTGCAGGGTGTCAGTTCAGAATGGCTGTGGCGCTGTGCTGTGGCGTTGTGTTGCAGGGCAAACGGTATTTGATTTATGGGCAGAGGTCTGAATTCTTTTACCATCCTTCTTGTTATTCTTTTTTTTCCTATTACATTACATTTTTCGTATCTTTTGTTTGTCCGTTGAGAGTTATATATTACTGCTGGCATGTGTAATAGAGCACAGCTCATTAATATATTTGATAAAGGAAAGAAAAAAAAGATACAAAAAAAAGAAAGAAAATGACACAGAAGGCTTGTATTACCTTGTATATCTATTTGATAAATGAGAGCAAGTCTCATTTAATCTTGTTAATGATGACAAAAATAAATTATTTTGTTGCATTTTCACTGCCCACATTAACTGAAAATAACACTCAAAAGACTATTAACCTGAAATTACTTTCAAAGTTGAGACCGGAGGGAATAGAGATTTCAGTGCAAACACAGAGGTTGCACTCACTCAACAACTTTGCAGGCGATGATGAAATAACCAGCTACTAAAATATTAACAAACACTCCCACATTCAAAAGAACCCCCTTCAGTATGCAAGTTTATCCTGTGTAATCAATATTTTCCACATTCCCTGCTCCCAGGTTGGTTGATCAAAAGGGCTGATACCCTTGTACTACAGTTCACTCCCCGTTTTCTTAATTTTTGGCCCTTTTGTGCAGAAATGTCAAATTTCTTATTTAATGCACCATGAAGACATGCAACCTTTCTGTTTGCACTGAAATCTCTTTTTCCTTTTTAGCTTAAACTGTGTATGTAATTCTCTATTAAAGTGTTGTTTCCTTTTGAGTAATCCAGCTTATTACTGCAAACTTGATTGTTATTATACAGTACACTGGAATGAAGCATACTTTTTTTTTTTTTTTTTTTTTTTTTTTTTTATCTGCTTGCTGCATGCTTCTTAAAAAAAACAATGAGGACACCTGCCATGCCAACCAAAGGAAGATTTCCTAATGCAAAAAGACTCACTATTTTGTACAAATGAAGTGATAGCAAAAAACAGTAACTATGAGGTTAAAGCCACAACTTTCAGGTGTAATTTCAGTGTATTCACCTCCATATTGGGTCAGTTTTGTAGGAATGGTAACACTGAACATGCATGTGCAAATAATAAATGAGCACCAATTTGGGAAAACAAACTGAACATCACATTAATGCCATGTTGTTCAGGAGCTGACACTTCTCCTCAGGCTACTTACTGAAGTCACCGGTGAGGAAGAGGGCCTCTGCAGCAGGAGCCCACTCTTTAAAAAACAGACTGTTGTCAGGCCGTCGCTGCACACCAAAGGTCAAGTAGCTGCGTGTGAACTGGTCAAAACCTCCTTCTGCCTCTTCCAGCAGGAAAAGCTGCTTCTGTAGTAGCTCATACCTTCAAAAAGCAGGGAATACACACAAAACTGTATGAATTCAATGGAAAATCCACCATTGGATGCAAAATCTGTTGGATACAGTGTCATATCGTGTGATGTTGAATAGATTTCTGTTATTTTACACTGAAGTGATTGATTTGTTTTATTTTTTCTTCCATTCAGAATCCAGAATGCTTTTTGACAACTTCCCTGAGAACATCAATTGCATTCAGGTCTGGCAGTTAGCATGTTAGGTGGAGAGCAAGAAAAAAACAACGGCAATTGAGATAACTGTGCAAGAGTTTCTCCAGCTGTCTCCCTGTACGACCAGCTGGATGAAAATATAGTGAGTTCAGGATTTGATCCAGAGTTACTGGATGACACAAACCCTGATGTTAACTGTTATTATTATTTAGTGAAATAGCGTACACATAAAAACATGGTACACCCATCTTAATTTCTAAAGAACTACTACTATCCACAGGAAGGATAATACTTATCTGAAATAATAATCTGTTAATGTTTTTTGTTCTGGTAAGTACTCACAATGGCAACACAGGATGTTGACATGTACACATGCATATCTCACTAAATACATCAAAATGACTGGGGAGGAAGATATCAGAATTGACAAGTAATGCTACAATTACTGTAAAAAGCAGCCCCTATATTGTACCCCGTCAGTGTTATCACTTATCACCCATTAACAGCTATTCATACTAATACAGTTAGTGATGACAGCAATTTTTTAAATCATCGGTCAAGCTGGAATGTCATTCTACTGCAAATAAAAATCTATTTTAGTACATAATTAATATTATCCTCTCACTTCTGTGTAATTAACTCTTTTAATGGGTTGCCCAGTCATTTTAATAGTAATACCAGTTACAGTGGATTATTTCTTTAAGGCAAACTTAGAAACTAGGATAATCAATCAAATCTCTTTCCTTGAATAATGATCAATGGAAACAGACATTCTAAATAAAATAAATTGAGCTACAATACAAACATAAATTAGCACTTTAAAGGTGATATTTCACAGGTTTCCAATAAACATGTCATTCTGCTAATAGTCACTGTAAAACTACATTAAATATTAAATTATTGAACACTTATCAAAAGAAAGATTTCTGATACAAATGGAATTGTTTTAATGTGTGTGTACTGTGTGTATATGTTTGAAAATGTTCCTTTGCTTTTTTACAACTTTTCTGAAATATTGCAGCACACGCAGGTTAGCTGTGTACAGTGCAGCATCTCAATGTTTCCATGCTAACGTTATCTCTTTGAGGTCCTACCTCAGGATGCAAACCTGCCTCATTCCCTCAAGAATGTGTGACTACAGGCACATCCTGAGAGATAAACCTCTGTCTGCTACCTTCAACTGGGAAGGATAGACTAACTACTTTGCAATTTATCTCACTTAAGTTCCTGCAGCCAGCTGGTGTCCATATCAGATTCCCCCGGTACAGAAAGCCTCTTTCAGCCAGCTAAGTTAAGTGCACTCCCTCCCCTATAGCCCTGAAGCCAAGCTCAGACTGGCCTGTGAATGCCCTGGGGCTAGTGATGATGGGCTGAAGTAACAGTGCGATTTCTCAGCAGCTGCTGCCTGTGTTGTGCATAGTGGATACAGACAGTGCTTGCCAAAAGTAAACCTTTAAAGTTCAACCAATTCTGCCACATGCCTCTTTTGCCACTTTGTCACCATTTCAAGAATATGCTAAAAGGAAGGACAAAGGGAGGATTCACATAAGGGCAGAGCTCCTTTGCTACAGTATTAATAAATAAAAGCCATGCCTATGATTATAACAAATGAGTTCCAGAAGGTTGGACTAGTGGGAATAGGGAGCCAAAATCCTGTATGGATGCAGTGTTCACAGCGCATCTCTTGTGTCTGTTTCCACTTGAGACTGCAGCAAGGAGGCGAGATCACACCACACATTACAAATGAATTGTGCCACAACTCATTACAGGAATTCATGAACAGAGCAGAAGCTAGGCAAAATCAAATCTGTGATTTATTTTCCTATTATTGATAATCAGATATCAGACTGTATGTGAGCACCCTTGCTGTCCTCTGTGCCCTTATGTACAAATTTATATTGCAATGAAGTTGTCATTCTTCCTCTCCTTTATCCTGGCACTGGTGCCACATCCCTATACCTTGCCCCTTGATTTTCTAAGTTACAAATTCTACCATTTACCACAACATCTAGCACAGAACTGCACACAGTATCCAGCGGCAACATTTGGCCATAAAACATTCTCCTATCAAGCTGAAAAGAGTAGAGCCTCAGAGTGTGACCATTTCATCACATATGGCAAGCCCTTTTTTCTCCAGCGCTGGCCCTGAATTCTTAATAAAGGCAAGTCAATGTGAGAATAGCAGAACAGGAGCTCAATCGCAACTGTTGTCTTTCTGTCTTCGGTTAAAGCTGTTTCATTTCTTAGTAGGTTATGAGATAATTTCCTACAAATGCAATTTTGCCAGCTCATGTATACAAACTAGCAAATGCATATTAAAGCTAAAATTACAGCCAACTAACCTTTACACAAGCCAAACAAATAAAGCCACCAAAAAATATTTTAGAGTCGCACTTCAAACACAATCTTTATGAGGCCCAAATGTAAGAAAACACAGGTCACAGTTTGATAGTACTGTAACGTGGCACAACTGTATGTTGAAGAGCATCTATTTTTAACCTAAAGCCAAAATGTGTAGGATTTTTATGGGATCTGCTGGCATAAGTATCTGTTTGGTGTGCATTGCGGTCAGTCCCAGCGCCTTTTTTGATGATACCACCGAAACAAGACATTTTAAACACATAGGGGCTTTTTAAGTATCAAGTCTGCCAGTAACACATACGAAACCTGAACTTTAATGTGAGAATCAGTGGTTCCTGACACAATACAGAATTCAGTTGCTCTCAAATCTATTTCCTAATTGCAAGATAAACACATGACAGACTCGTTTAAGTGTTAAACCGGGAAGGGAAAGTTGCAGTTTCCTATGACTTAGGTGCTGTATTGAGAGTGTTGGACGCATGTTAAATGTGTTAAATTAATCAATGTTAAAAGTACTTGGCATTTTCTATTCTTAATAAATACCTGCCATTATATATTTTTGGCCACTTGAGGGAAGCAGAAACAAGCTCTAAACACAAGTTGGTACGGCAAACTTGTTAGCAAACAACCGCCTATTATACACCCAGCGAGCAACATTCATTTGGAGTCATATTCTCTGTCCACTAGTGACAACACTGATGAGAGCGATGTGACTGAACCAAAACAACAAGCTAAAACTACGCTGGAATGCTACATAGATCCGAGAGGAAGTGCAGAGTTGGATGAAAAATTCGCTGTGGGTTTGTCTATATGAGCTACTCAGTAGTCATGTGATCCATTGTTAATATAAAAATGTGGATTATAGCAGCTTTATGAAATACACAACATTAAAATACCAGTTACTAGCCTGAATATTATGAAAAAAAAAGGGAGATACTGACCACTTCTCAACAGAACAAAGTAATATTTCATTTTCAGTAAGAAACACTGCTGCTCATTATCTGGTAGTACATGACGAGAGACATTACTAATCCCTGTAGCCAAAAATTACAAAAGAGCTTTGTCCTGTCCCCTATTCAGTGGTAATAGAGGAGAAGGAGATTATAGATGTGAGTTACAGATTACAGTCCTGGCTGTCTTATCTATTGGTTTGGGTAACTGTTCTTTCATATGGCAAAAGTGAGATATTACTGCACACAACAACATTGCAAGTAACACAAGCACCTGTCAAGTCACTGAGTCAGTTCGTTGTTGGACACATTTCTGCTTCTTCTCAAACTATTAAATTAACCCAATATTCCTTAGAACATGTAAATTATCGATGTTGCAGGGACAGACTGCTAGTTATGCATTTTTCTGTGGCTTTAAATTGGATCACTTTGATCCACTGTTGTGGTATTCAAACATTTGTAAGTGGAAAACATCTGTCTGTCCCAAAGTCACGGGATTTAAGAAGACACTGGAAGTGAGACCATTGGAGAAAGCTCTCCTAAAAGACAAGACCATGGCTCAGAAAGCAGAGAAAGCTAATCAGTTGATAAAAGCTCGCCTGAAAATCAAAGCTAGCTGGAGTAGGTGAGTCTGTAAAGAATTCTTTGATGAGAAAGCTGAGGATCAGAGAGTGCTCAAGATAGCGGACCAGCTGGGGGACACTCTCCTGAATAAGAGAAATGAGGATCAGAAACAAATGGACAAACTTGACTTTAGCTCAGAAGCACTGTGAGGAGCAGCAGAAGATCGATCATCTGCAGGAACGTGAGGAGAAGATCTCCACCCTCAGGGCCACAGAGAAGGTCAAACAAACCCTGCAGGAGAAAGAACTGGATCGGGCAAAGAAGCAGGGCTGCATGACCTCTGACCAACATTTCTTCTTGGACAAAAAAAAAAAATTTGGATAGCTAAGATCTTTCCATGATTTGCCTCAGCAGTGGAAGACCAGCAGTACTATTTCACCCCAACATTCTGTGGCAGGAGAATTTCTCTTCAAATTGTCCTCCAGAGGTTTTGTGTCATTTACATTATCTGTTGAGGTTTTTGAACTTTTTCCTTGACTTTTTCGAAAATTTGGGCTGGGTTGAGAACATTGCTCAATAGTTGTTTGTAAAACTGGCTAAACAAAAAAAAATGACATTCCACAAACCTCTTGGTCTTGCAATTCATTAAGTTTTTAAAAATCGAATAATTACTGAATAGGTATCTCTACAATTCTCTTTAGACCCACTATAAAGAGACAGTGTTGGAGAGATACTAAAAAATGTTGTTTGGACATTCGGTACAAACAAACAATAGGTGGTGTTGCATTTAGGGCTGCAACTAATGACTATTTTGGTAGTCGACTAATCGAATAAATAATTAGCAGATTAGTCGACTAGTCACAATTATTTTTGTCTCCCCCAACCCTAATTAAACCATTTAACTAATTAAATATCTTTCAAGTGAATTACTGACTTCCAAC